CACAAGAAATTTTAAAGATGCCACAGACCTGGAAATCCTCAACTAAGTTTGCTTTGGTTTTGCTCTTTAGGAACCTCTGTCTGCGTAACCATTTGGACTTCGTAGTGCTTGTTAACAAATCTTCCTCCACCCTTTGTGCCCATAGTACTGCTGTGGTTCAAAGGACCTTTCAGTCCTGCATTTGAAGGTTCAGGTGTGGCTCTGCTGCTTTCAGCAGGCACCAGAGAGTCTTCACCTGTTAGTTTCGTGCATCTTCTCTTAATTGAGATTTCTCTTTTAACTGCTTCAGTTTTGCCAATGAGTCCTTTTCATTCTGCAGAGCTAAAGCAATTATTTCTCTTAGCCCTGCTCTTGATACAGCTGGAGTGCTTCTAGGTTATTATCTATGGATGTCTTTCCTGAAATGATGGGATAGACCATTGTATCTTACCTGCAATCATAATTAATCCCAGTAAAATGGCATTGAATCTCTCAACAGTAAAGTGCATCGTCGCTCCCCTCCGTCCCCCAGCCAAGGGCTTGGAGAAGAGAAAGGACAAAGGAGTGCAAGCAGCAGATGTGAAAATATTCCAGATTCTGGTCTTCAGCCTCTAGACTAGAGTGCTTTTGTTTCTGCTTGTTCTGACAAAGCACGTAGCATTCACAGGAGGGTTTTTCAAATCTGTTTTTACACAAAATTAGGGCATGGATGAGGGCTGGGAAGTGACTGTGGTGAAACGTCTCCTCTGGCCATAGCCCATCCTCTGGTGTTTAGCAGACTAAGTTCTAGTTCTGTATGTGTGTGAAACAAGTGAGATTGTGCTTATTTACATGTGTGAAGCTCTTTGAGCGGTCGTGTTAAAGCACTTCCAGTGCCTACCAGTGGAATAAGAGGCAGCAAGTGAAGGAAGCGTTGTCCCCATTTTACATGTTTGGACCTCAGGCAGGAAAAAAAAGCTGAGTGACTCACCACAAAAGTCATGCAAGAAATCTTACATCTCAGAGTGTATCACACAGAGACAAAGCGAAATCTTTCAGAATTAAGGTCACCAAGAAGGTTAGTATTTTGGAATGTTATACAGACTTTTTTGAGAGCTGCCCAAGGAGTCACGTAGCACTGACTGCACCTTATCTGCTTGTGGCTAGAGAGATGTCCCAGGGCTTGCAGGTACCATCGGTGGGTGGTTTGGTGACCTGCGGATGCCTGTGCTGCCATGCAGCACTCTCTGATTAAAGATTTCTGACTAATCTCACGTTCCCCAGGTGAGTAACACTAGTTGCAGAACAAGACATGTATCTCCTTAGAGAAATTTTGTTTATGAAAGATGTAAGCGGCTTGGTTGCTTGTCAGCAGATGTTTTGACTGGGGCAGGGTGGCTCTGCTGGCAGAGCACATCATTTCAGGGAAGGATGATGCCGTTCTTCTTCAGAGCAGATGGGAGCTGAATTTTGGGAGGAGGCTTCTAGAAACAGACTTGATGTTTGAGAAGTCCAGGATCAGCATATGGACTGAAGGCATCTCTTAGGATGAGCAGCAGTGAAGTGGTTAAGTGTCATTGTTTTAATGGTTGCTGTTACGTGTCCTGGGCCTCCCCTTGGTAAGACAAATGGGATGCGTTCATGCCTCTGGGTGCCTTTGCTGTGGGCTCTGACTTGGAAAGACCAGACTGCTTCAATTTACATTCTGAAGAGTCTTGAGGTCAGAAATTTTTCAAAAAGTCTTCTAAGTGGGAAAATGGGTAGGAAGTCAATAGGGAAGATAATTACTTTAACTTGGAGATATTTTCTGTGCTCCTGAACAAACATGTGCATTACCGTGGAAGATATGAAATGCTGGACCTTATGACTTTGCGGTAGTGTTTGGAGACAGTGGTGCAGACTCTTGAGATGGCTGTTTATACTGAAGAGAAGCCCTTACACAGGCTAATGTTCAATGTCAGATGAGAAATATCCTAGCAAATGTTTTTTGCAGTTAATGTATATATATTTATAGAAACTTAACATCGGAGGCCAACAAGCCATAAAATGAATTGTGCAATATTTTATTATCTTCCTTGCAAATTTGACCAAAGAACTCCTAAATGATCTTATGCAGTGAAATAGAACACAGTCGTTCGACCTTCAACCGTCATACAAGTGGACGAACATTTTAATGCTGAGAAATGTCTGGGTCAAGCAGCAGTTTGGTGTTCTCCAGCTCATTTATTTGAATTTTTTTGTGGTGGCTAGGATTTCCATATTATTTTCTTTTTCAACACCCTATTTTATTATAGGGTGCTAACACTGCTGTGAGCAAAAAGAATCATTCTTAAGTGTGAATGTAAAGAATAAATGCAGCATCCTCACCCAGTGCTTTGCAGTTTTCAGTGATAGAATGGGAACTGGCTTTGGCTCCCATTTTAACTTCTTTGATGGCACAAGGAGCTTCTGGTCTGGTGGAGGGTCAGGGTGGGTGATTTCTTCCTTTGATAGCTAATACACAGGAAGACAGCCCGTCCTCAGTGCTATCTGAACAATAGCTTGAAAGCAGGATGACAGAGTCTGATTGATTTGTCATTAGCTGACCTGAGAGGGAAGATGAAAAAGATTCCAAAAGCGGATAAATAATTGACATTGCTAACCTTGAGTCCATTCAGTTCGCAGCCTTTTCTCCTTGATATTAAAGATGGCTGAGTTGCTTTTGCCAGCTTCTTTCTTTGGCCCAGGCTCCCCTGCAACCTGAATGTTTGATTACAGGAGGAAATAAAATTAGACCTGAGTGGCGATAGGTGTTTACATGTGCTGTGAGTAGATGGATTGGAGTGTGTGCCATCTCTCCTTCCACTGCCTGTCTGCATGGCCCACGAGAGCACAGCATTTTCTGTATGTAGAAGTATATATATAAAATGTCAGGCACTCGGTGCTCCGGGAAGTAGTGGGTTTTTGCATATCCCAGTACTTTTCATCTTTCCTGTAACGTGGCATTTGGTTAATGAATGTGCCAGAGTGAGAAAACCCAAAGGAAACCCCTGGCTGTTTTCCCAGGAACTTTATTAATTTTGCAGCTCTCAGTTTTGAGGAGTAGGTAAGGTCCCTACCCCCACTCCAGAGAGGCTTTTAAGTGTTTTTTAAACTGTTATTCCTAAAGTAGGTTAAACTGTAGGTGTCTAAACCCTTACAGTACCCTCTCAAGGCAAGGCATTTGCAGAGTGTGGAGGGAGAGTGAGTGCTTTTCCGAATGCCCCGGCACAGGGTATAACATGAGAAGCCACCGATGTGAGGCAGCCAAACCAAGCATGATCAAAACCAGTGATTTTCAGCATGGTATCTGTAGGTTAAAGCACAGCATAGTTATCCCTGGTTTCCCCAAGCACCTGGCTTGATCTTAGCTCTATCAAAGCCAAGCAGTGTTGTCTGTTTTCTGGTCCTGGAGCATCAGAGGCCTGTTTGGGACCAGCGATTAAGTGACTTAAATGCTGCACCCCATCAGGAGCTCCTGAATGGCTGAGCCACAGAATGTTTTCGACTCCAATATCCTTCTCCCTTTCAGCACTGATCTCAGCACCTGAAGGTTTCTCTGCTCGTTATGTCTGCTTCTGCCTTTGTGCTGTGCCTGAGCTTGCCCCAGTTGATGCAAATCTTGTATCTAACCTCTTTTTTTCACTTTTCT